TATAAATCAAACAGAAAATCGAATTTTAATTTTTTGAAAATTAAACAAACAAAAAACTTAAAAATCTCTGGAAACGGTGGAATTCCACTAAAAGCACATTTGGGTGACTTTTATACCTTTGATATACGCCAAGATGTCCCCACTCGATAAAAAAATCTAGATCCATCACTGATAATAACTATGAAAAATAATTATCGAATGTTATCAAATAATTTTTTTCTTTTAAACAAAATATAAAAGTTTGGTGTATTAAAATTATATACATATATATACACACACTTGGGATCATGTGAGACCAAGAATTTTTCGTGAGACCCGGAAGACCAATTCTCAACCCTTGGATTAGATATACAATCTAAACATTCATAATCATAAAATTGCCACGAGACTTCTCAATAATCATAAAATTACCACCGTACAACTTTAGATCTTTAGATCATTAGCTTATAAAGTTGACCAATGAACATAAATTGGTCTCACGGGTCTCACGAAAAACCCTTAGCCCATTCAAGGAAAAACTGATTAGTTTGTGGTAACTGTGAAATCCAATCTCAACCACATATCAACGAATAAATTAGAAAATTAGTAATCTTGATAATTTGAGTTAAAATTATAATTAGAGGGCATTTTAGGTATTTTTAAAAAACTCTCCTCTCCTCTCTATTCTCACCTCTCTCCGACCTCGGATCTCCAACCTCCGATGAACATTATTACGGCTGGTACCAAGTAATCATTGTGATACACAATGTAATACTCATTGTAGTATCACTGTGATACCAACCCAAACCTTAAAAACAAAATCAAATCCATAATCTAAATTTAAGGAATACATACCGATCATCCACGTTGTGATACCCAAAATACATACAAGATGCAATGTGATACCCAATGTAGTACCAATTGGGGTACCACTGTGATACCACTCACACCAACCATATTACCCTAACGGATGTTTTAGCCGGAAGAAAAATCAGTAGAGTAATAAATGGAAGCATTTATAAAAAACCAAACTATTTAGGGTAAATTCAAATCAATTAGGTAAGTGTGAATTGAATAATTAATGATTTGATTTGATTTGTTATAAAAAAAAACAAATTGTCAAATCACCTATTTACCCTTTATTTTATTTTAATAAATAACATTAATTATTTTAAATAACTGATTCACATTAGATCTCACAGTTACTATAAACTATTTAGTTCTCATTTGATTAAGTCTATATATATATATCCATAAATTAAACAAAAATGGTGAATCGTCATTAAATGCAGAAATTATATTTTGGAAAGTACATTTGAATCTGGTTTAATAAAGTAATAAAGGGTATTATTGTAAATGAGGGTAGCTTCACATGATGGATGTAGGTTTTATCCTTTATCACGAAACCAATCCATTCCTTGTATGACGTCATTATTTATAGGTATATAAGAAATAAAACTTTAATGTTAAATAACCAACATTTAAACCATCACATTAATGACAACCGCTATATTTACTACGATTTCACATGCAACACAAACCAAAACCTTTGATGCTACGTCTGCCCCACTTCTCCTCTTTCGTGGGCTACCTAAGAAAAAGCGATCCATTCGTTACTCCTTTATTTTATTTTATTTTATGTTTTGTCGTGTCTTATGTCCGTACAACGCTTTTGTTTTAAAACATCTCATAAAACTCATCTGAGTGTGTATGTTTGGCTACCTTGTTCCTATGTTTATTGATCTCCATTTAATCAGTATTTGAACGTTGAAGTAAACTCAAGCTCATGACTACATCTTGTTACAACTGTGCTTTTAGTTTCGATGGTTGGTGATTTTATCTATCATGATCATAATGGGTTTGATGTCATGGATTGATATGACCAATTTGGCCCTAGTTTGGGAATCACATCGTGATTAATACAGAGCTTCTAAAACACCAATGATTTCATTTTCTTGATGTTGATAAAGTGATAAAACAGATGCTCATGTTTTTTGTTTTGTCACTTTCCACACCAAATTCATTATCTCTGGATCGATGATTAGATGGACCATTTTTCTAGAGGACAATCACAACTGTATGGCAATTTCAACTTTTAATCCTCATGGCGGCATAAATGTTATGTATTAGGTTAGGTCAAAAAACATTTAAAATGGTGGTCGAGGACATCATCGTAAGGTAAATATATCATCAGTTCAGACAGTTAAAAATTATTTTTTTAAGCTCGACAAGTTTGATTTTAGATTCTCAATCATTTCTTTGCGTTGTATTTGAATTCTTTCGTAATGCATGAAAAATGGTCTTAATATATCTTAAGAGTTGTTGCTCATGGAGCCTTTTGAGCATGATGAGAAAAAAGAAAAGGGAATTACGTAATGGTAGATCAATTGAAAACGTAAATGGCTAGAATAAAGAGGACTATTAGAAACCAAATTGAACTAAAAGTCGATGGTGGAGCCGTGGTGTCCCTTTTATGTGGTTGTCTACCAATAATATTAAACAATAATTTAACTGTAACCATGAATCTCAAACCCACCCATGAATCGTGCTTGATACGGTGATTGATCCAATGCATTTCTGTATATCTCATCTCGATGCATCTCATCCTAATGTGTATCCAAGGATGAAGATCCATTTTTACACTTCTCACCTTAACTTTCTTCTTGCGAGAACCTAACCCTAATTATAAAATCAACATCGTATGTTAAGTGTTAAGATGGTCGATAAATTGAACATTCATGAGAAAAATGATTTATTTCCATTATCACATTTGTTGTAGTTAGGTATAATAATAAAAAGAAGGTCCGAGTATGATTTTTGAATTCAAGAGCAAGTGGTATTGTTGAACCAGACAAAACAACAAGCACTGAAACCAAAGACAGATATAGACGTTAAACTATAAGATAAGTAAGCCTCTTTAGACGCATTATTGCAACAAGAGGATTTTGTGAGAGGATCTAGAAGCTTTAGTTTTTTGTTTTAAGATCTGGAATGTAATTGAATTCAATTATGTTACAAATCTTATGAAAGATTTGATGAAAAAAAGGCGGGGTAAAGATGCGATGAAAACAATTGAAATTCATGGGTTTGGATTTGAAATGAAAATATGTTGGAATAGGTATTCAATATGCGAGAAAAACCAAAAAGTAAAGGATGGTTGAGGCTCGGGTTTGACATGGTTTTCTTAAAACAGATTCACCCCCATATGGTGCGTCTGTTTCCCAAGATACAACGACCAAAACGATTTACGAGAAACCGCGAACGTAAGTAACGAGTGAGGTTTACTTTGCGGAGAAGTCGAGACAAAGTCGATTAGAGGGGATTGCAGCTTCCGGTGTGAATTTGAGAGAGTCGAGGCTCTCTTTACTGTTGGAGAGCTCAGTTGTGGTAGAAAATGATTGAAAGTTTCCTCGATTAAGTAAGATACTGATGGAAGCTATTAATAAGTATCCAAATCGAAATCTGATTTTTTTTGGCAGAAAATTGATTCAAATTTCGAAAACGTAAGAAAATTTAGCGAAGCTGATTTTGAATTTTTTGGTCGACCTCGAGCTGCATGCGGACACACGCTCACACACTAGTTCATTGATTCAAGCACATTTTGGTCCAATTTTGCATCTCCTATGTAAGTGGACCTGTATAGAGGCTTTCCTCCCACAAGCTTTATTTATATCAAGTATCAACTATGAAATATAGACCCATATGGGTTTCACTTTTCCACCAATGTGGGACTAACCTCTACCAGTACTTTGACAATCAATTTCTCATTCGTATCAATTCCGTTTTATACATGAAATATGTCAAAACAGAACTTTTACTCAGACTACGCAAACCTATAGATATATGTTGATCTCGATCATGGGTTCGAGTATATTTTTGGGTCTAAATCGGGTATAAAACCAATATTTTCCAACATAGTCATCTACAAAAGATTTCTAAATCCTTTGTTTGTGAGAATTCATTGAAATTCCAAGATTTTTGAATCGAAACTTTCTTTCAAACTAAACACATAAATGAAATAGAATTCAACTATAACTTTTGACTATTCATTATGACGTATTTTATTTTCCTTTTTTAACTATATAATACATACGACAAATGCAACAAATAAACTTATACACCCTCCTCACATTTGATGAGATTTGAATATTTGGAGGCCAAATGTTACGATACTGCTAGGACAAATGCCATTTGATTTATTTTCCTTTTTTTGCTTTCTAGTAAATAAATTTATAGAATTGCTCTGATACTAGAAGTTGAATCCACTAATATATCGAAAATCAAAATCTATATTTACATATTTATACTTTCAAAATCACGCATCTTTATCTAAATAAGATCAAATAATCCGATATAAAATCACCATAAAATGATTAATTTTTCTCTATCAAATTATTCTTTCTGTCATCAATTTGTCTTAAGTCAACAAGATTTACGGATGGATAAAATCATTAAAATTGAATAAAATATAGAAATACAATACTTGTTTTTATTCATATTTTACTTCAAACTTATGAAATGTTTTTTTTCGTACTTGTTGAAAAAGCAGTTTACCCCATCTTCCATTACTTAATTGTTTGCATGTACTTTTGTCATGACAAATGGATGATTTGATGCTACGTTTAGAGTTTAATCAATAACTCAGTTGTTTCGATGGAAATTGTCTTCTATGGGCCTTTATAGCAATCATAGTTGACAACGGGCATTTCAATTCTGTTATAATTCTTATATTCATTATATCTGTAATCGTGTTGCACACACATGACCAACGTTGTCTTTTTATCTTTTGCAAGAAAACTTAATTTGGATTGCGAATTTTTCTACAGAAATTACCTTCGTTTTGAGGGTCTTGGAATAAATTGTGTGGAATTGTATGGATAAACTAAAAAAACAAAGGATGATAGTTGCAAAGTAAGCGAATCTTAAGGGGTCTTAGTGTAATATTTAGACACAGAACATCTTTTTTCACTTTCAGTCCATTTTCTCTTTCAACCAGTTTCAGTCTTTCTAGAGTTTAGAAGACGTACCCTTTTATCTCATCTCTCTTTCTCTCTCTGTCTCTCAAACACACGGAGGATTCCATTGGATTGCCGGCGAGATGTCTGCATGTGCACGGTTGTTTCCGGCTCTGCTGCCTTCTTTTTGACCTCTGAGATCCGAATTTCAATAATCTCCGGCGACTCTCTCATCGACGTGATTCGTGATGCTATTACGGTGAGATCCAGATTTTTTTCGCGCCGCTGTTATATTTGGATCTTACTTATCTCAACCACTGTTTGTATCAATTCAATTTGATTTGATGTTTTCGTCCACAAAGAAAAAAATTGGTTGAAAGGTTTTGAGTGTTTTGATGGATTTTGATCGATTCAAGGGTAGAAGGTTGATATGTGTTGCAAACTTGTTTGATATATGATTCCTGGTGGGTACTTTTTTGGGGGGTTTTCATGTTCTTCTGATTTGCATAAATTGATGGATAGGATGTAGAATAATTACATTGAAAGATCAAAACTGGATTTTGTTCATTGGGATAAAGAGGTATAGCAAATTCAAATTGGGTTTTTTTCTTCATTTTTTGGGGGTATATACACCTAGTTTGGTTTTGGGAATTTGGGTTATACAGAAATATTGTGAGAAAAATGGGGTTAGATTCTGATAAAAAGAAGTTGATGAGTTCTCGTTACAAGATAAATAACTCTTCCTCAGAATATTTGTTGGAGGAAGAAAAAGATCTAGAAGAAGGAAGTGGGGTAGAAAAGATGAAGAACAAGGGAGGACAGTATGATGGTCAGCTGAAATATGGATCAAATGATTCTCTTCTTCCTGGCATGTATGATGATGTTGCTTTAATTTGTCTTTCTTGGGTATGCAGATTCGATTATGCTTCACTATCATGTCTAAATACAAGGTTTAATTTTCTCATGAAAAGTGGGTATTTGTATGAGTTAAGGAAACAATTGGGAGTAGTAGAGCATTGGGTGTATATGGTTTCTGATCCTAGGGGGTGGGAGGGGTTTGATCCAACGAGAAAGAAGTGGATGAGGTTGCCAAAAATTCCTTGTGACGAGTGTTTTAATCACGCAGATAAGGAATCTTTAGCTGTGGGTAGTGAATTGCTGGTTTTTGGTCGTGAACTGTTTGAGTTTGCCATATGGAAGTACAGTTTGGTTCGTGGGCTTTGGGTGAAGTGTGAGGGAATGAATCATCCTCGTTGTTTATTTGGGTCAGGGACTCTTGGATCAATAGCCATTGTTGCAGGAGGGAGTGACCAGAATGGAAACATTCTGAAATCTGCAGAGCTATACGATTCATCAACTGGTAAATGGACAATGTTGCCCAATATGCACTCCCCTCGTAGATTATGCTCCGGTTTTTTCATGGATGGAAAGTTTTATGTGATAGGAGGGATGACAAGTCCCAATGATTCATTAACTTGTGGAGAAGAGTTTGATCTTAAGACGAAAAAGTGGAGGAAAATCGATGGGATGTACCCTAATGTAAACAGGGCTGCCCAGGCTCCTCCTCTTGTTGCAGTAGTTAGTGATGAGCTGTATGCAGTTGAGTATTTGAGCAATATGGTGAAGAAATATGACAAAGAGAAGAACTCGTGGGATGTTCTGGGCAGACTTCCGGTCAGGGCTGATTCTTCAAACGGTTGGGGCCTAGCCTTCAAGGCTTGTGGGGAAAGACTTCTAGTAGTGGGTGGACAAAGGGGTCCAGAGGGTGAAGCCATTGTTCTCAATTCTTGGACTCCAAAATCAGGGGTCAAAGATGGCATCTTGGATTGGAAGGTTCTTGGTATCAAGGAACATGCTGGAGTATTCGTTTACAACTGTGCTGTAATGGGTTGCTGAGGACCTGACCATAGGTTTTTCTCATCTTAACCTAAACTTTCTTTTCAGGGGTAACATTGTCGATTGCCAGATGATAATTTCATTTTCACCATCACTTCTCTTAAACATTGTTGCAACTCAATTTCAGTACTTCCATAATCTGCTTCCTCTTTAGTCACAGGGGTGCACCTTTCTTCTTTCTTTGTTTTTTTTTTTTTTTTCCTTTCATATCTTTGTGTGCTTCCTTTGTTCCTTGGCAGCCTACTCCCTGTGCCAATAAACTGCAAAAAGAAAAAAAAATCATAATGAAGTTCAAGTTGACTGTTCTGTTGTTTGAGCCCAATTTTAACACTCACTTATGCTGTATTGCTTACCTCTGATTTATCTTGTAGATCATTAAGTATTGCTACACCAAGAACAAGAGAGATGATTGAAATCTAAAGCTAAAGAGCACACACATCCACATAACCAAATTTTAACAATCTTCCTTGTTGCATGTTCCATAACCAAATTCATGTTTGTTTCCATCATCTACATCCACATCCTTATGTTTATACAGTTATACTTTTGGGATATGGGAATAGCCCAGTACAGTTTAAGCGCACACAGTCATATTATTGTGGGTATGTTTCAAAAGTATTGAAAGTAGCTTTGATTGGGTAGTAGTATCTGGTTTTGGCAGATCAATCTATTCTGGCCAGTTGAAGAAAAAGATATTTGGTTTGTATGGCCAATAGTTGGATGCCATGGATTTATGCTGTTGGATATGAGAGCCAAAGCCAATTAGCAGTAAAACATAATTACAGCTACAGTTGATATTTGATTGAACAGAGTCTAGAATGGGTGGGGTGAGGAGGATGAAACAGTAAGCATCATGAATAGGACAGAAGATGAGGGTTAAATGTGTCAGATAATGTCTGAGTTTTAACATATGATGGTAACAATTTGTTAAGATGAGTTTTAACTCAGACCCAACAAAATTACATATTCAGAAATAAAAACTCAAGCTTTATTAATTTAACATAAATTACAAATATATATGGATAAAATTGGCACATAAAAAAACAAAAGACATCACTTCAATGTAAACATAATAAATACCTTAAATGAAGTAGCACATGACAAGCATGTGTTGTATATCTAATTGAATATTTTAAAAAAATGTAAATTGTGATTTTTGTATGAATTGATTTAGTTTTAATGTTGTAAGGGAATGTTATGTATTTTATTTAAATCTTGTAAAAAGAATATTTTATATGAATTATTATTAGAAGGAAGCTCAAAGTGGACAAAAAGGTTTGGGCCAGCAGGGCTGGATTGATTCCTTTTTCTATAACTAACCTCAAAACAAATTAATAATTTTGAATATTTAATGTAAATTCACAACATATAAAAAAAATCACAATTAATCAGATAGAATCATTTCACATCAGTTTTGAACTAGTGTTAAACATTTTGATAACCTTAGAATCCTAAGCTATTTTTATCTTTTTAGTTTCTGTTTAGATCAGGTTGAGAAATGAAAATGACAGAGAATGAATTTTCATTCTATCCGGTTTAACCAGGAATGAAATTATGGGCTTCTGGTGGAATGATCCTATTATATTACAGAAAACCAAACAGTTTCTTTTATTTTCATTCTCATTGATTACTGTCTAATATCTCTAATCAAACACTCCCTTAAACACTTTGAAATAAGATGTCTAAACATGAATAGTAGTCAATTCCATCCATTGCTATAAAACTAAAAAAGCTTTATGTAATAAGCTGTGTAAATATATAAATTAGGTTTTGGGTAAGAATTGGAAATGTGGTATGCCTAATAGACTTATGGCTGGTTGGACATGATGACTTTTGGGATGAGTTAGGAGTCATGGATAAGCTGAAAGTAGATTACAATGATTTGGACAATTTCCACCGTGAGCAGAGTGGAGAACATAACAATCCAGGAGGTGAGGAGGGGTAGAGAATAAACAACTAAGAATGGATATAATAACCTTAGGTGGCGTTTGTTTTTTAAAAAAAATTTAAGCTTGAAGTCTTATTTTACTTCTGATTTATAAGAAGTGGGGTTGAAGTCTGAAATCTGAATCAATAAGACTGTTTGTTTTTATAAACTGATAAACATATGAATTTGTTTAAATTGTCTATTTTACCTCATTAAAAATTTATAGTGTTGAATTTATAGATAAATTTATACAATTTCACATATTTATTCCTCATAATTACGAAATTTACATCTAAATTATATAATTAAAATTCATTTAAACGAAAATGTGTCATCAACGGTGTTTAACACATTTAAATCCTATTAAAATACATCAATTGAGAGATGTGAGGATTGATTTGGTAAGGATCGGTTCAGAGAAATGATCGATTAAGGTTAATTGATGGAGAAACGCCGTTGTTGAGGGTTTGAAGAACAATAAGAGGCAAATAAGAAAGTGGTTTATCTTTTACCAGACAAGAGGAAAATAAGACACGAGTGTCTCTGAAAAATTGGAAAAAAAAAAAACAGTCTAAATGACCTTACCTCTTAATAAATCAGATATAAAAGGCTGATAGGAATTTTTTTTTATAAATAAACAAACAAGGTCTTAGACAATTCCTACTGATATAACATCTAATAAGAATTCTTGGAGACACATAACCGAGTTAGCAGATTATTCAAATCGAGTATTAGCTACTGCATACAATGGAGATGGACACAGATGATATGGGTTATGGAGTCGACAAGTAGGTCAACAGTTTCCTACATTAGATATAAGAAGGGAGTTTGTGCCGGTAGTTAAGAGTGCTCAACAGGGAGGGAATAGAAGGGGATGACATCAGAAGTAGGATCGYCGAACGGTCTTCTGGCTCCGTGGCTCCTGACCTTGGAATCCCTATGTTGGTGTAAGAGTAGACAAGTGGATCTACAGGGTTTAAACCGTAGTAGCAGATAAAAGCGTTGACCAACTATGGGATAATGGGAACTTAAGATCACCACTATATCTGGTTTGCGAAATTAAATATTGTTTATAAAATTATGCATCTTATTAGTGAATATTTGGACATACATGATTCTGAAACGTGTTCTGAAAAATTGTTGGCGTCATTGTGTAAGAAAACCCGATTCTTATTAGGCCCTACGCCTAGCGGAAACCTTTTTAAAATTTTGCAATCCAAGCCAGTATCAAGTTTGAGGTAGCACAAAAAGGGACAAAAAAGGAAATTAGATATATTGATTTGAATATTGAAATAATGTTTTGTTTTAGATAGATGGTATATTGAGGCATTAATATTAGAGTTACCTGAAAATCCAAAAAAAAAATTGTGTATGTAAATTTTGTGTTGTGATAATAGTTGTTGATACCGGGTAGAGGATGACAATATTGATATTGAACTTTATATTGGAATTAGAATTTTAGAGCTTAATGGTCGAGTGAATTAATCATTAAACTTGTTAAGTAAAAAAAATAAGGGTGAGCATAGGCGGGTACCCGTCCTATTTGACAGGAACTGAAACCGACGGTTCTTGAGATATTAGAACCGGAACCGGTTAGAGCGGTTCTTGAATTTTTAGAACGGGGAACCGGTTTCTGTTCCGGTACCTGCTTCCTAAAATATTAAATTTTTGTTATTTATAAATAAAAAATAAAATATCGTCAAAACACTAAATAAATAAAAAAGAATACAAATTATATGAAATAATGGTTACAAATATTGTTTAACGATTACAAATCATAATAGACTAATAGTAAATGTTGAAAGTTTAACTATTACATACTATAATTATAAATGTTCAAAGTTTAACAATTACATACTACGAATCCAATTAAACACACAATTTGAGAAAAATACGAATCATTTTATCTCAAATTATGAATCTAGAGTTCTAAGTTCTTGACTTAACTTAAACTAGAAGAGTACTCGTGCAATGCAGCGAGACACATCTCGATTTTAATGTTCTATTTTATTAATTGTCTCTTTCGATGTTATAATACGATTTTATGTGTTTTTAAGAAAACAATAATGATTTTATTTTTGAATAAAATATAAATTTGAAAAAAAATATATATATTAATGTTAATACCAGATTAATTATTTAAAAGTTTTCAATTTTTATGTAACTTCTTTAATTTTTTTTTTATAATTTAATTTAAGTTTAATAACGAAATAATTTATTTTTGGTTTAATAATATACCATTTTATAAAGATAATAATTAAGTATTTTATTAGAACTCAATGATTATCCTAATTATATTTTAGATTTTTTATATTTAAAATGAGATGTTTATCATGTATTTGATTATGTTTATATGCAGTTAGTTACACGAATTCAGATATGAAGCTTTAATAAGTTGTACCTTACGCACAATCTACTTGCAATCTTGAGTTTTAAGTAATATGCATTAATAAACAGTACTTTATGCATAAAAAGTGGTTTTTAAGAGTTTTTGTCAAATGCTTTATAATATAGTATAGATTTAGTATTAAAAAAATATACTTTTTTTTAATTGAAAAATACCGGGTATTCGCCGGTTCCGGGTACCCGGAACTGGTCCCGACGGGTAACGGTTCCGAAAAATTGAGAACCGGAACCATTCTCAATCGGTTCCGCATTTTAGAAACCGAAACCACTCATATCGGTTCCAGTCCGCAAGTGGGTACCCGGTTCCGCTGCTCACCCCTAGTAAAAAGCATACCCTTCATTTTAACTAGTAAAACAAGTTTAACTTGGCATGCTCGACAAGATCAATTATTATTATTTTTTAACCAAGTCTTTGACTTACTCTGGCCTACTATTATTTACTCTACTTTGGATGTTAAAGTAATAACTTTATCTTTCGACATTAGATTTCTATAACATATTATTGTTAAATAGACAACATGAAAACGTTCATTCAATAGAAAAAGAAACACGAATCGGTGTATGTTTGACAAAAGTCATCAGTATACATCCAACATGAATTCAAACTCTTGACATCAATTAAATGTATCAAACATTTTTCCACAAAGAAATCAAAATAATTTAACATCAAATACGATTAAACTTGTTCACTAATTAAGCACGTGAATCATCATAATTGTTGCTCTCATTTCATATATTCTCTTTCTTGAACATTTAGTTATCAAGTAGTTTGATGAGATGTATCCTCCATAAGATGTGATTTTGAATAATTTCATCATACAATTAAGCTTACGCATATGAACAGTGAACCTAGTGAATTAAACATATGTTTAGCAATCATTAAATCATTAATTGCATGATTCAAAATTATGGCGTATGTGGTTGTCAAATAAAGTTTGACTGGACTAATACTCCAGTAATAATAATGACTGAT